TTGTGTGACTTTATATGTCTTCGTTTACCACACTTATAATATTCTGCATTTTTAAATGGACAGTCATTTCCAAGATGTAATTTACCACATGTTGAATAAAGTTTATTCTCCTTTTTGTACATTTGTCATTTGCTTTTATCAATGCACATTCTTTGTTCTGAATTTCTTCAGCATCGTGTTTCAGACTTAAGTGCCCTAGCAATCGTTCACTATATCTTACAGTGTAATATTACTGTTTCAGCATCATTTATAGCTGTTGAACCTTGAACGAAAATTAATCCTTTGAACATATTTGGAGTTATTTCCTGTATTCTAATCTTTTCGCATTCTTTGTTGGCGAAACCAGCATACGGGACAAAATCTTCGTCCTTTTTTTGGCTTAGATTCATGAACTCCCAACGAATATTAAACAGCGAGCACTTGTCACTAAATATTCTTGTCAGATTTGTACCGTGTCTTCAAACCCGATTTCAGATTGAATCCTGCCCCCGCCTTATTTTTCGAGAGAAACATTGGGCTTAAGATTCTCAAATTCTTCTAATGACTAATAAATATATCAAGCCTGGCTCAGATTCCGTCTGTAGCGTCTCCCAAAACTGATTCAACCGTTTTTGCTCTTATGTCCAATATAAAAATTCGTGTCTTTGGAATGGTCATTAAGAGTTTTTATATATATATATATATATATATATATATATATATATATATATATATATATATATATATATATATATATATTTATATATATATATATATATATATATATATATATATATATATATATATATATATATATATAAATCTATAATTCATTTAAAAATAAAAACAAAAATCCTTGGTTAAGAGAATAGCCGAAAAGCACTGACAGTTTTTATACACTTTGCGTCCCGAAAAAATCACATAAAATGACCAGAAGAAAATAAGTAAAATGGATAAACTCACTGCCTCGTCTTTAATGAAACTTAATGGAACTCCAAAATGGAGTCGTTCATGTGTACAAATTTGATTACTTCGTGTATGTTTCGTGAAATAATTCTGTTTGATTAATTAGCACATATAATCAAGTATTGCGGAAAATATGTCGGCTTTTTTAAATGTCATTGCTATATGTCAGTCATTTTGTCATGTGACGATAAACCGAAACATAGGCTGGCCATCGTGACGGTGTGAATTAATATGTCAGCGACAAATGTATCGCTGGCATATTTTCTACAATCATGATGAGCCTGCCTATGTCGGTTTATCGCGACGTCAATACCTCACCACCTCCACCCCTGAGCAATTTCTGTTAGCGACATTCTGATATTTAATTGGTTAATCCAATGCATACACAAGTCTGCAAATCATGACCTTTGTCTCCGCCTTTAACTTTCGTAAAAGAGTAAAACCGCCGCAGGTTTTGAATTGAGTTGTCCCTTCCCAGACAAGTTGCCATCCAAGGCTATAGAACCCAGCCTGTCCTGCTATTTACCTATATATATATATGGTAATCCATATGGAAATTACAAAAGGGGTATAAATCCAGAATGCTCAATGCCCAAAAAAAGCAAATAATAATTATTATAACGGTGAAAACGAACACTTTTAAATACCATTGTAATATTTATTTCATTAGAATCGAAAATTAAACCCAACTCTTCAGATACTCGCTATACACAAATATATATTTGTGTGTAAGAGAAAGTCTGAATATATATATATATATATATATATATATATATATATATATATATTATATATATATAAAACGAACACTTAAATGCCATCGTGATATTTATTTTATTAGGAATCAGTGATTCGATCCAAACTCTTCTAGACTAACTCTTACACACAAATATAAATGGGCAGGATATATATATATATATATATATATATATATATATATATATATATATATATATGACCTGTTTTGACCTGTTTTTATTTCTATTATTTTTTCTTTCTCACCTACTAACTTTTTCTTCTTAAAATTATTTTTCCTGTCTTTCGGTTTTTCCGAACTTAATTTCTCTTTCATTGATTCCTGAACAGAAGACTTAATAGATTTAAAGACACAATGACCGGCGATGACTTAGAAATTTAAATTTGATGATAGGTAAAAAGCGTAACGATTACCTATGAACAAAAAGAGAAAAGAAGAAAAAAAAATAATATACATAAACTGAAATAAATTACGCCTTATTTGAAATCCTTTTCAGACTGTCAAAAGTTACAAAGAAATGCCTTTGAATTTGAAAGGCATGAATGCAGCCCTTGCTCCATTACGTCTAACCACCACAACATAAATATTTTTGTTCTATATCAGGGTAAACTTCTGCTGAAAACGTTTTCTTTTATTGAACACAGGCTGGGCTGCTTAAAGATAAAAAAATCTTATGAAACGCATGGAATGTCAAATATAACGACTAAGTTTCCATTTTAAATATCATTCTACATTTAAACTGCGCATTTTATCCGTATTTGCATTAGCGCTTACTATGAAGTATCTTTGTTCTTTCAATTGAAAATTTGTAAAAATGCAATTTTAAACGTGAAGGTTTATGTGTCATATTAGAGCATAAAATTGTCCAACCGCAATCGGCCATTGAAATTATAAATCTGAACTCAATAAATTGAAATCTCCGTTATAGCTGGAAAATCCAGAATTTTAATCAATTTCTTCAAAAGATCGATATTAATTTCTATTATTAATCACAAATGAAAATATCTTGCATATTAAATTAATCTTTTTATTAAAAGATACCATCAGAAATTAACAATTATAAAAAAAAACACATACATATAAATGTACGCTTGAACATGAACGTTTAGAATTATTGATATAATAATAATCTTATATATAAAGTGAAGAGTATGTGTTTTTGTGCGTGTGTGTGTTCAAAAGTCCGCTCCTACTATTCTGATTTCAATGATTCATAGCTCATTCAAAGAAAAGTTACCTGCAAGGAACGATTTTTATTCAGCGTTGTCATATTATATGAAGTTAAAAAATATATACTATATTATACTAGCCATTATCGTTACTTTCATGGTTCAAGAGAACTGTTATTTTCCTTTTGTATCCAAAATTGCAGTGCTAGTTTAAAATTTAATAGCTTAAAATCATCTATCGGGCGACATTTAAATTAATCCTGTGGAGGAGTCTTGGTTTAGTCATCATCACAATAGCTAGAAGGAATAGATTGTGATAGGCATCAATAAACTACAGAAGTACTCAAAATTGATCGCCGCATTTAAGCATTGAATTAATGTTTAAACATAACTTTTAAAAAGTTCAATGATAATTGCCTTCACTACCACTTAATTTAAAGACGATTTGATGTACGTAGATCCTTATTTTCCTTATAAACAATTATTTTTATTTCACGGAGTAACAGAGCAGGGAACAATTTATAAGAAAACATTAATATAGTGTAAAAGATGGGAGAATAAAATAGTTATACATTCAACATTTGAACAGTTAAATGAAACATAATAGCTAATTACGTAAAAACCATAATATGGAATCTATGAATAAATGCGAAATTGGAGATCAATTCTTCCACGAATTCTGAGATTAAACGCCCCAACTCTACTTTCCAGAATTTACAAACAAAAAACTCAAATCTGTATTATACATTATTTGCTTCTAGAAAATATCACTCTTCAGGTTTAAACTAATTTGTATATTGATTTAAAAGAAGAGAAAAATTAATTAACTGTCCTTCATTACTCTTCTTTACTCGAGGATTTTTTTGATTTTCATATCAAAATAGTTCTCTTTAAGAATCTTGTTATAGTATAGAAAAAAAAAAGTTTTTTGAAATTTTCATTTTACTTGGCCTTCCACAGTTGGCATCTATTTGTAAAACGATCATTAACTATAACAAGCCAATTTATGAATATTTGTATAGAATATTTGTTTAAAGATTTTCGCCAGTGACCAAGTATTCATATAGTAATTATATAATAACATAATAAAAAAAAAATAGTAGTAATAAAAATAAAATTATTAAGGAAAAAGACAGTCCAAGAAAACAGGTTGTGCCTCACACACACACACACAAAAAATTTTATATATATATATATATAATTTTATATAAAAAGAGAGAGAGAGAGAGAGAGAGAGAGAGAAGAAACAGAAGACAGAGAAGAGGATAGACACGGGGATGGAAAATTCGTTAAAATTTCGCAAAAAGGAAAAGTATCGTATTTATTTTAATTTATATTTACCAAAATTACAAAAAATTTTGTACTAAAGAGTAAATTTTTTCAATAAATCCCGCCCCAATTTTAAACCTTTTTCCCCAAACCCCCTTTTTTTTTTTGGGCCCCCTTAGGGGGAACGGTTCTTTTACTCTCATTCTGTATACCTGCATGTGTCTCTGTGTGAATCTACGTGCGAATACACACGCACACTCACTCACTCACACACACACACACACACACACACACACACACACACACACACACATTACCCCACACACATATATATATATGTGAAAAAGGTATATAAATATATATGCGGAAAGTAAAAGTATAAATATAAATAAGTATGTACCATTTATATATATTATATGCGGTACTTATTAGAAAGCGCTCAATATCAGAGATAGAGCTAATATATTTGGTTGATAGATGAGTTTGACAAACCTACATCTATCCAACCAAGTATATATATATATATAGCATATATATATATATATATATATATATGCATGATTTGATTTAACAAGCTTGAAAAAACATATGAATTTAAACAAATGCATATCTGGATATGGGAAAGAATTAAAATGATTTATGTTCACAATGCCTAGGAATTCCAATTTTAAAAAAAATTAATGAGAACTTATGTAACGATACAAAATTTTCTTTGACCCAGGATGGCATACACGCACATGCGCACTTTAAAATTTAAGAGATTTCCGCCTTTTCACTAATTTTATTTTTTTACCAATCATTCTTTTTTTTCTGTTTTTTTTTTTTTTTTTTTTTTTGTCGATTTCCTTTGCGTCTTTGAGTTTTGCTTATCTTTCTTTCTCTCTCTCCTTTTACCAGGCGACCATCTTTTTGATTCCCAAGGATCTCATGGTGAGATTATAATTTTGTTTTCATTTTTTGCAACTACACCTCCTCACATCACCGTATCTTTTCTTTGACATCAATTCACGCTTTTGTTATTGTCATTTTTTTTTTGTTTTTCTTTTTTATGTTACATTTTGTTCAATTTTGTTGAAGTTTGTTCGGACATCACTACCACAATCTCCAGGTTAAATCCGCATAATTTTCTATTAAAAGTATTTCAATTTATTGGCAATATGCCGTCTACTATGGAAATATACAACATTGTTTAATTTAAGTCCTGTATAACTATTTATATATTATTAATTATTGATGAATAATTAATCCTCCGGGACATCTGAATAAACCAACCAAAGAAATCGTGCCCTTTTTCTTTATTTTGTTCTTTTCTTCCGTTCTTTCTTTCGTTTATTCTTTTTGTGTCTTCTTTAAATTCGTCATTCCTTCTTTTATTCTCTCTCTTTCCATACACACAGACATATATATACATGTATATATATATATATATATATATATATATATATATATATACAAATAGATACATACATACCCCAAGAATATATATTAATATATGAATATTGAATAACTATGTAGAATTATATCTATACCTATGTTCATATAAAATGTGTCTTTTATCAACAGCTTATTCAAAAATTGTACAAAACTAATTTTTAAATAATACGTACAAACTCTATCTGTTTAATTATATCCAAATTCAAACATTTTTAAAATTCACCATTTATCTCTTTTCTGTACGTAAATTTATGTATATTTCTCACAATTCCGAGTGAAGTCATTGGAGAATTTGTCGAAATATTTTGTTTTTGAATACAACTGACGATGCCTTGTCCTGTTACAGAAGAAAAGTGTCTTCATTTGCATGACGTTTTTTATTAAACAAAATAAATACGTACGCTTGGGGTCAAACGTGTCTGTCAATTTTAATCAAACGTCTTCGAAATCTTTTACTGAGTGAATATATGTTGCAATTTCTATTTCAAATAGCATTTGTCCTTCGGTGTGTGTTAATCATTCTTATGTTGTTTTAACATATGTAATAGGATTGATTTACATTAGCATTCAGCAATCCATCACACAACACGTCCATTAGTTTAATTATCAAGAAATGTTCTTTTGATCAAAAATTTTATCAATTCTAACCCTTCGTTTGATAAATTTCTATGTGCATGGATGTGTACGCGTCATCTAATTAAATGGGTATACACGCACACACACGCACATATGCCCTTGCACACAGGCACACACAGACACACACACCCACCCAAACACAACACATACATATATATATATATATATATATATATATATATATATATATATATATATACAGAAACACAGAGCATCAGTTTCCTTTTGAGTACTTATAAGATATTCACATTTACATATATAAAGAATAATGGTGGAATACATCAAACATTTAAGCAGCTCGTATTTTTAAATACACATATTTTTCACACACACACACACATACATATATATATATATTTTATTTATATATATATATATATATATATATATATGTTCTCTCTCTCTCTCTATATATATATATATATATATATATATATATATATATATATATATATATAGTTACTCCTATTTGATCACAGTTCCATTTAGAATCCATTTAAACACACATAAACTTACAGACTCGATTAGAAACATACTAGTATAAAACACAAATATATTAACTGCATCTACCTGCAAAAAAAAAAGTCTAAAAATAATGGAAGCTTCAATAAAAAAGAAAAAAATGACTCTTTACAATATTAACTAGGAACAAAGCCACAATGTAACTGTATTCAAATTAAAACATCCCTACCACACACTAAGACATACACATAACGCACACTCAGCTAAGCTGAAATATTGAATCATCCTTGATAATGGGTAAAGAGTTATGGCGAAAACTGGAAATATAAAATATTTTGGACAGTTCTTACACACTCTTTGTCCAGAAAAGAAAGTTCTTGTTCGAACACAAGAAAATTAAATAAAAAGCAACAATAGTATTATCTTATCTGTCGTTTTTTAATGAAACATGCATATATATATATATATATATATATATATATATATATATATATATATATATATATATATATGTATGTATATATATTCAGTTATAAATCAAAATAAAATAATCATTAAAAATGCCTAAAAGTATATCCGAATGCATTCAGACAAAACCGAACATTCGGGCAATTTCTTTTATAATTTATCTGAAAAGAACTCAATAAAAATTAAATAAAATTTATCTTGAAATTAGCCGACTGCGTTTCCTCTTCTGAGGACTTTATCAAACAATTGCCATGAGAAATTACCTTGATAAAAGTCCTTCAGAAAAGACACGCATCGGCTAAGATGAATTTCCATTTTATATATTTTATTATATATATATATATATATATATATATATATATATATATATATATGTGTTATACTAATTTTTGACGAAAAGAATCCGATTGAAAACACATAAAGAATGACATATTTTTGAGTTTATATTCTTCTGGTGATCAAATCATGTGATTGACTATCCTTTTAATAATTGCTTAATTGTTATTCACATGAGGAAAAACGATAAAAAATTAATTGGTGAAGTTTTTTTTTCCATTCATTAATTCAAATGTTTTTAGATAGGTATACATACGTGTGTGTATATATATATATATATATATATATATATATATATATATATATATATATATATATATATGTCTGTGTGTGTGTGTGTGCATGAATATGTGTATCTCATTCGCCACACGCAAGAATGTGATGAGTTAAGTTAAAGTGGGATTTCCGCAGACGTTCAAAATTTGCTCAAGTATCCGCGACACTCCCCCATTTGGTGACACCTCTGGCGCCCAGGAAGAACACTGGCCTTCTCTATGCAAAGGTACTGTATATATGTCTACAGAGGATCGGACGATATTAATTTAAACAGCCCCCAGCCTTAAATTGCCAATGGTTTACGTTGAATTATATATATATATATATATATATATATATATATATATATATATATATATATATATATAATAACACAATAATGTATGTATACCTATCTAAAAGCATTTGAATTAATGAATGAAAAAAAAAGCAACAATAAATTATATATATATGTATCTGCATCAATATAAAATACAATATAATCTGGTCGTGCCTGATGCTCGGGTAGCGGAAACTCGTGGAGTGTTCTGAGTCGGTGTTACTGTTATTGTTGGTCATTGTTGGTCATTCTGGTCATTGTTATTGTTATTGTTGCTGGTCTGCGTATTTACTGTTCTTGCTCATTTAAATATAGAACATTGGGTCGGTGTGGAATGTGACGAACCTGATTGGATCTAGTATTTGCCTTTTCCGATTTCACATTTCGAGGAGCCGTCGATCCATCGATGGGTTAAAGCTAGAAACATATAATTAATAGCAGATATTTTATAAGCCGAAAATTAATAATTAACACCGGATATAAACATATTTTTTGACAAACGTATAATTAATAATGAGTTTTGAGTAAAAAATATAATTGATACCGGATTTGACAGTGATCATTAATGGATTAAATGTATGAAACACACACTCTCCCCACGCTCTCTCTCATACTCTCTCTTTCACAGACACACACAAAGACACACTGTCTCTTTCTGTCACTAACACACATAATATCTATCACATACACACATTCTTACCTCCTTTCGCACACATATACTCCACTCACACATTCTCAAACATATACTCTATCTCACCTCTTTCCTTTCCTCTCTCTCAAACACACACACACACATATATATATGTATATGTATGTAGAGAGAGAGAGAGAGAGAGAGAGAGAGAGAGAGAGAGAGAGAGAGAGAATCAGATATATTGCATTTTAATCCGATAATTTTAATGTTTACAATTCTGCCAAAATGTTATAGAATATTGCTTCCATGCAAATATTATGGTAATTATTATTTATTATGGGTAAGAATATTTCCACGAACACACACACACACACATATATATACACACATACATATGTATGTATGTATGTATGTATGTATCTATCTATTTATCTATCTATCATTCATCTATCTATCTATCTATATATATATATATATGTGTGTGTGTGTGTGTGTGTGTGTGTGTGTGTATTCATATGTATATGATATAGCCATAATTTTGCATAATTTGTTATATCCAAATAAAAGAGAAAGAACAGACATGTTAAGAATCCACTGTTCTTTGCATTTAATTTAAAAAGACGTGCTTGATAGAACGTAGAGCAAAATATTATAATTATATATTTATTATAATTATTTACATAGCGTTGTAAAAATAATTATAATAAAAAAATATTATTAAATAGTATTAAAACGAAGTCTGATGAAATCATAACGGATGAAACGAGACACAAGAAATTTGTTAGCTCTCTCTCTCTCTATCTATCTATCTATCTATCTATCTATATATATATATATATATATATATATATATATATATATGCCTTTGTGTATGTGCAGAGAGTGAGAAAATACTATTTTTGAGATGTGGTGATCTCTTCTACCTAGATCCCCGGTGCTTTTGTGTCTTTCAACAACAGATCCCCTTTCCCAGGTGTGGCTGATCGACATTTTCATCCAAGTCCCTAATACTGATTTTTTAAAACGTCATTTCATCTCCTTTATGTAATTTAATGTCTTCATTGGTTTACTGGGGATATTTCCTATTTAGTTTAGGTTGACTAATTGTAAATATTTTTATTGATTCTCTTGCACTTATTTACATTCTGCATATAAACCCATATTCATCTTTCCTAAAGAGGATAAGTTTTGAGTAATTTAAATAATATAAGCTGTGTCTGAAAGAATTTTTATCATAGAGCAAAATCGACACCTTCTATTAGGATAGCTTTTACAGTATAAGTGGTCTGAAAGATTGGTTGGTTATCTTAACTGAGGTTATAGAAGTGTGTGATTTTTGTATATTCAGTAGAGAGTCTGAGCTAT